ATATATATATAATGTTTTTACATTATATTTTATAATATACTTTTACATTAAGTTAAGCTGAATAGAATTATATACAGGGTGCTTCCTTTAACTTGATCATTTAAAATATCTCCATTGTTTTTGGTGATAGAGAATAAAATACTATAGGGAATTTTCGATTCGAAGGGACACATGTTATGATAAGCAAAAAATTTTTCTTGAGAATCAAAGATCATATTTTTTGAGACTTCAAGATCATCTTCACTTTTTTAAATGGAATTGTACGATTTTTTTTACATAATATGATTCCTCTAATTATTCTGCATATAAAAGTATTAAGATATGATTATCAAAAAATTAATAGTTTACGAGTTATTTAATATCTTAGGTCAATATATGCCAGAATAAAATATCTCGTAAACTATTTGTTTTTTATATCATTACCTTAATATTTTTATATGCAGAATAATTAAAGGAATACTATATTGTATAAAAAAAATCATACATTTCCATTTAAGAAAATAGAGGTGACGAAGTCTTAAAAATAAGAAAAATTTTTTGCTTATCATCAAGGACGTGCTCTTTCGAATCGAACAAAATTCTCTGTGGTATTTTCGCATATCATCAAAAACAACGGAGACATTTTAAATAATCAAGTTACAGGAAATATTCTGTATATTATAATCAGAGCTGAGTCTCGGAATGATTCATAAAATATAATATAAGAATAATATTTGCAAAAATATGAATTTCATATATAATAAAATTTTTTTAATATATATGATAAGAATTATCTTATTATTTTTTTAAATAGATACTTAATACAAATTCCACATTGTAATCTATAATTAAGTGCAATCGATTTTTTAAATTTATAATAAAGTATTAGTTGCATAATAACATATATAAAAACATATATAATAACATATATAAAATAATGAGACGATGCTTGTACTTATATAAATACTTTTGGTCATTGTTTGTATATTAATTTTAAGAATATCATTTTTATATTTAGACAAATTTAGAAAATATAAATTATGCAATTGGTTGTATAATTTATTATATGAATTTCAGACGTAAGAATTTGTGTATATACTTATATTGAACTGCCATCTTTGTTTATGTATATGTTCTTTAAGAAATTATTTATGTTTATACTAGTACGAAATATATGAATAATATCTATGCGTATATATTCAACCTTATAATTACATTATTATTACATATAATTATTAAAAGCTTAATTATACATGCAAATTGTGAAACAATTGTGAACAATAATATTTACTTATTATAAATATGTTAATTATGTATTTCTTACACATTTCAATTAATATAAAAAAATTTATATTAATAGATTTATTGAAAATTATTTACTAATTACTGCTAATTAAAAACCTATTCATTCGGAAATATATATTTACATTTTTGTAAAATTATAGCAATGTTTTTTTATTTCATATGAAAATATATATTTTTTGTTTAAGAATATATAAATCATATACTATTTATACATATTTATATATACATATTTATATATAACATATATATATATATGAATACCCATTTATAAAGTATAACCGTATCTTTTAATCCAATTTAACCCTTCCACTGTTAATGATTTCGGCCGATATTCCAGACCAACATAGCCAGTATAACCAGTTGTTTCTAATAAAGACAAGATATATTTATAATCAATCTCTCCTGGAGTATCTGGTTCATGTCTATCAGGAACTTGAGCTACTTGAATATGACCTATAAAAGTAATATACTGATTAAATATATACTTTTTTTTATTTGAATAATATGAATATCATTGAAATAAATTGTATTATTTATGTAGATATATTAAGATTAAATTATATAAATTAGATCTGCTTGAATAAATAAAATATGCACATATATAATTAATAAAAAATTATTTTCAAACGAAATACATTATAAAAATACAATAAAATTATACAAAGAGAATCTAACAATAAAAATTAATATAATGTAAAGTTACTAACCTATGTAAGGTAAAAAATCTTGAATAAATTTTGTAATATTACCACAACAATGTTGTAAATGAAAAATATCCATCAACAGCTTGAAGTGTGCATTGTTTATTTTTTTCACCAAATCTAAACCTATGATAAAAATATAACAAAATTACTCTAATGATTCATTATGAGGAAGTACTACAACTGGTAGACAATACGAATTCATATACCTTTCTGAAAATTATTCATGTAGTAATTTGGTACGCTATAATTATTAATTGGTTCAATGACAACAACAATGTCTTCTTTTTGACATTTTTCAATAGCATACAATAGATTTTTTTCATAAACCATATCATTAGCAGCAGTGGGAGCCTCCACTTTTCCTGACATTACATGAATTCTATCAAGAATAAAATTTGTTGTTATGATTATGTAACACGAAATTTGTTATGATTATGTAACACTCTCTCTCTCTCTCTCTCTCTCTCTCTCTCTCTCACACACACATTACAAAAATTAAATTCTCAATCGAATTTGTACATTTACAATTTATCGTTATACTGACATTTTACAGTTCAAAGCATTTGCATATTCTATTGTTTTCTCGATACTTTTTTTGAAATTTTCTTCTTCACCTGGAATGGCAGCAAAACCTACTTCTCCTTTTGTGACATCACCTGTTAAGACAATGTTGAAATTAATGATGAATTTGATCACTCGAACTACATTAGAGTGCATATTAAAAGCTGCTTTATATAAAATATCTCAATGCAGTGATATAATATAATCAATTTTGACAATGAAATGATACATATATATTTTCTTAAATAATGTGACAATATCATTAGTAGATAGTTAATCGTTTAAAATATACTTTTATATTTAACTTTGTTAATTTCATGTAAAGCAGTTTTTAGTATGTACTGCCCATACAGCACAGAATTTGCAGCAATATCGCAGTAAAATCTGTAATATGCAGTGTTGCTGCAACTTTTGTGCAACTATGTCCTGTAGTGATCTAGTGTAATACAAGTGACTGAATTCGGTATAAAATTAATGAAATTATCTTTGTAATGTTGTAACATAAACACAACATACCTGTGAATACATTCAAAAGTACTTGGTCAACATTAGCTTTCTTTTTAGCTGTGGCAACTTGTTGAACAGAGAAACCAAATGGAAATCCACTTTCAACTGCTTTAAATCCAGCTTGCTTAGCCAATTGATATCTGTCAATAATACTAGGAACCTCAGTAAACATAAAAGATAGATTACTGGCAAATCTTAAAGCCATGACAACAGTTATCTGCAAGGAATAAGTGTAACACATAAAATGAATGTGAAATGACCTTTCAGTCAGTCACAACTTTCATCGTTGAATTATATAATAATGCTTATCTATGATAAGGAAACTGTATTTGAAAAAAATTTCTGCTAATATAGAAGATAATTTTAAAATAAAGTTTATTCACCTGATTATAAAAGGTATAAATATATTTGAATTATAAAGTAAACATAAGTAAAGGTTATTTCTTAGAAAAATATTTTCATGATATAAACTTCCTCGACATGTCTATTGACGTCTGTATTTACGTCTTTGCTGCGAATATACACGTTGGAAAAAATAGAATAAAAACTGTATGTAGAAGGTATAAAAATTGATATATGTGATATTCTATTTTACACAACATTGAGACTACTTTCACAATGGATATATCATGTCTAGATACACGTGTCTCATATTGAAAGAGGGAGAAAACAAACTTTGAATAGATTGCAGATGCCTTCCTAACCCAGCAAACGAGAATGGATTGAAATTTTTTTCTAACTGCATATTTTAAATACTTTTTTTTGGATTTAATTGGGTTTAATTGGATTCAGTTAGATTCAATTGGATGCAATTGGATTGAAAAAACTGCATTCCTATTCAAAATTTTGAATTGAACAGTACAACATGTTTGTGTTGCACAGAAAAAGCTAATATTATTTTTAGATTGAAAGACATAGAAATATACTTACTCCATGCAATTCCTATAAATGAATAAAAATTCATTCAAGATCGAAAAGCATTTATGTATATATATATATATACACAAAATTTATCAAAAATCTTTTGTTCTTTATTTTTATAAACATATATAAGTTCTATCTGCAGTTTATAATCTATCTACTAAATGTGGATATGTGTATTCTGAAACATACTTTATTTTTTACATATTTAATATATACGAATATTAGACACAAAAATAGTATTTCTATTTTTGCAGATAATCATAATTTTTCTACTGATTTATGTGTTCACATATGAAATATAATCTAATAATAAATAATATTCCTGAGTTATTTAATTGTTAATTATAGATAAAAAATTAACAATTGTTTATTAAAATATGATCTCGATGCATTAAAATTTCTTCAACACAGTTACAATTTTGTTATATAAGATTGTCCTTGCATCGCGGCCCCAGATATAATCGATATGATTGAATTTTTCGTATGCTATTTTTTCAATTTGTATAACATTTGGTAAATTATCTGTCAATTTT